GCTCGGAGCGGCAGCCGCGGGCCGGGCGGGAAGGCGCTGCCCGCCCCGGGGCCGCTGCAGCGTTTGCGGTCACTCACCCCGGCTTCCCGGCTCCCTCCCCTTGCATCCTTCCTCTTTTCCCTCAAAACTGCCGCCAAACATCCCCGTAAGCCGGGGGACAGTRAACATCCCGTGTCCCGGGACTGTTGGTGCTCAGGCTGCACCGGTCGCTGACTCTGCTCTGACTCTCCGTCACTTTTCAGGCCACGATAACGGACCAGGTGGTTGGGTTTGGCATGGTAGCCTTCAGCCTCACTGTCTTCGTTTACTACACCGTCTGGATCATCGTCCTGGTACGCGTCCTGCTCGGCCTCTTGTAATCTCAGCAGCTTTTCTGTCTAGACTTTACTTAGGTGCTGATGTGTCCTCGTGACTCAAAGTGCTCTACTTTGCCAGCTTCCTGGTGGAAAAAAAATGTCCCTGGAGAATTTCCCAGTGTAGGATTTGCTGGGACAGACCTTGCCCTTTCTAGGTGTGCTGCTTTTGTGTGGGTAAGATCGACCTTGTGCTCTGCCRCCCCGCTGCTTTGAGACAGGTTTGGCTGGTGTGAAGTTGAGGTTCACCTGAATTGTCGCTCCGGCTAAAGCCTCGTCATTCCGGAGCTGTCGGATGAGGAATGTTGTCATTAGTGATCACTTTTACTCTCTTCTGATTCCTGGTTTGGGTGGGAGGTGACAGAAAAAGAGATTCTATTCACTAAATCTGGAGCCCAGGAGGGGGAAGAGTTTAGTAACGTGGAGCTCAAGAACATCGGTTTAACAGCTTGTCCGTTTCCCCAGGCACGTGATGGTGCCTCCCTGGAAATGCTGGAAGGAAATGTCTCCCTGGGAGCTAAGCAAGAGGCCTGGGTCACCCTTGGGCTGGTGTCTGACGTCCCAGCAGCGTCCCCTCRCAGTTCTGAATTCCCCTCTACAATCTGCTCACTCACTCTGGTGTCTAATGTATCTTAAGTAATTATTATAGTGCTCTCGAGTGTCCAGGGTGTTCCCCCTGCCTCAGCTACGGGGCCCTGGCAGAAACGGGGCGAAACAAATCCCATTCCGTCCGCTCTTCCCTTCCACCAGTGCCAGCAGGTCCAGGGATTCGATGCATCCACCCAAGCAGGACGTGGGTCTCTGCGCAGCTGCAAGCGCTGCGCCCGGCGCCGCCCTGCCCGTGCTCCGCGCYGCCCTGCCCGGCCCTTGCGCTCCTTGCCGCGTTGCCCGCAGCGCTGCTGCGCCGCGGCCCTGGCCCCATGCACTTTAGTTGCCCTTTTTTCGGCATCTTCTTCCAGCCCCGTGTTTCCGTGGCGCTTGGGGAGCCCCCAGGCTGCAGGGGAGGCGAGCGGCCCCGCGCAGAGCCCGCGTGCTGACTGCCCTGTGTCTCCTGCAGCCCTTCATCGACAGCGAGCACGGCATCCACCGGTACTTCTTGCCCAGGGAATACGCCATTATCATCCCCGTGGTGGCCGGGCTCCTGCTGCTCCTGTTTATAGGTGTGTGTTATCTCTGTAGCTCTAATCAGAGGTTTCTAAACTAGACACAGGGTTGCTAGGGGGTATGGGGTGCGTGGCCCTTGCGACCCGCTGCCTGTGGTGCTGGGTGGCAGGGCGGCTGTGACCACAACCGTGGGAGCTCCTGCACGGTGGGCTGGATTCTCCCCCTCTCTGCTGAGGTTTTGTTTCTCACTGCAGTGCATTTTGAAAGCACCAGGAACTGGGAAATGTCTGATTGAACCTGTCCTCTTTCTCCTGGTAGGCATCTTCATAGTGGTTGTGATGTGGAAAAACAGGAAACCTGCAAAGAAATCTGACTGAAGACCCAAATGAGAGAGCTGAGGAGAAGGCATCAACCCTGTAGCATCTTAGACAGGGAAAGACTTTACCAAGTGGAGACCCCTTCCAAAGCTCTGTGCTGCAGTAGAAACGGTGCTGAGCTGGCTGCTCTGTCTCCAGTGTTCCTCACGGACCAAAGAGAAGCAAAACTCTGACCTACAGCTGCCATCGGGAAGGGACCAGAAGTCCAGCTATGACGGATGTGCTCCTCAGCTGGGGCTCGGTGTGGCAGCGGTGACTTCAGCTGTSGGGAGGAGCAGTCGGGGCCCCGGCAGCTGTCGCCACTGGAGTGTGAGGCTACCCCTGGCCTGCCACGTGCTCGGTCTGCCGGATGTTCTCTGCTCTTCCTTGTCCTGTAGTTCATTGTAGATTTTTCATTTGTTTACATATGATTTCTTTAATTAGATTCACGATGTAGAGGAAAGACTCTGGACTTGGGAAGGGCAGACTTGTGTTCTGCTTTTGTCTGCTGGAAGGGCTAATCGTGGCCCTGGTTGGCTCGTGTTTATGAAGAGGGACCTGTGAGACCGGCCGTGCCGAGGCTGCGGTCGGGGCCGTTCCGCGCTGCCCTCCGGCAGGTTGTCGGACAGCCGAGGGGCTGGGGAGGGGGCTCCTGCCCCACAGGGCTCTGCGGCCGGCGTGGTCGGGGCTGCCCTCCCGCTATGGGGTCTCTCCTGCTGGCAGCCGCCTCGGCAGGTCCCTCAGACTGCAGCGAGCTGGAATCGTCCTCAATAAAAGTCTGCCGGATCTTGTCTCCATCCCCTTCCCGCGTGCAGCGCGGAGGTGCAGGGCTCCTCTCCCCATCACCAGAGCCACCTCGCGTCCCCCGGCACTGCCTGCAGTGTCTGCAGCGCTTTGCTGGAAAGCTCCTGCTGACTTCCCCGGGTGCCTCCTGGCCTCCTGCTTCCCCTTCTCCATGTGTGCAATCTCCAGCTCCTCTTCCTGGCCTCCCGGCGCACTGGAAATAGCTCCCGCCGGCCCCGTGCGGGTGACTTCGTGCTGACTCGGGGCTATTTCACACAGTGAGGAAGGCAAAGGGGGAAGAGCAGCGGTGTCTGCAGCGAGCCCAGCCTGCCAGCCCCGCAGCGCTGCTGCGCTCCGTCCTCCCTCCCTCCTCCGCAGCCCTCCTGCCTCCAGCTGCCTGCGGGCTCCATCCCCGCGTCCCCGCGCCTGCTCCCTCGGCCCGCAGCGGCGGGAGCGGCGGCCCGGCCCGGGCGCTGCCGGCGCGCGGAGCCCAGGTGAGCGCGGCCGGAGGGGCCAGGGGAGTGCGGCCCGGGCAGAACAGGGTGCCAGCGAGACGGGATGTCCAGCCCATGCCGGTAAAGGGGACGTGTCCAGCAGGGTGCCGGTAAGGGGGACATGCAGCCGGGGCAGCGCGCGCGGGGTGCCACTGAGGGGGRACATCCAACCCATGCAGCGCAGGGTGCTGCTGAGCAGGGATATCCAGCTGGTGCAGGGCTGCAGAGGAGAGTTCCAGCCGGGCGGACGCCTGCGCAGCCCCGTGTCTCCTGCACGTCCTGCCCCGCGTCCTCTGCGCTGCCCTGGCCTTAACCCTCGCTTGCCYGCACCGTCCCCCCGGAGCCCTCCCAGCGGAGCCGCGCGCACCGAGCAAAGGGGGAAGGGGCTCCCTCAGACGAGCCCCCCTCAGGGGCAGCAGTTTGGGGGTCAAGTCCACAGGTGTGGGTGGTCCTGCCTGTCCCCCCCTCTCATTGCTGGCGCTGTGGGGCACTGCAGGCGGCTGGTGCCAGGCTGGTGCGGCAGGTGGTGGGGCCGGGGGGTCAGTGTGCTGGCGTGGGCACTGGCAGCAGCCTCGGTGGGACCGTGGCCACGAGGGACCCGCAGCAGTCCCGTTCGCCCGGCCCCGGTGCCAGCAGGATGCAGCCAGGATGCAGCAGGGAGCGGCCGCGCAGGAGGAGGAGGATGCGGAGAGGCAGGGAGCTCCGGCAGGGCGTAGCGGCACCGGCAGCGCAGGGCCCCGAGGGCAAGGGCAGTGGAGGCAGAGCGGGGTGGGAGGCTGGGGCCCCCTGTCCTGGGCTGCGAAACCCAGGGGAAGGGGAGGCAGTGCGTGCGGCCCCGCACTGGCCGCCCACTGCAGCCGGGCACGAGTCCCCAGCAGCTCTGAGGCTCCACAAACTGGGTCTGGGCAGCGAGTGGCACCCCGAGGTGCCCCTGTGATGCTCCCCATCCCTAGGAGCCCCTCATGCTGGCACCACTTGCCCTCTGCTCTGGAGGCTGTTGGCCCCTCTTGGCCTCCCTTTGCTTCTTTGGGGGCATCTCGGCTCCCGCTTGGAGCCTTTCCCGCGGGTGCCGTAGGTGCGAGGTGCCTGTGGGCGAGGATGACGATGGGCTCCGGAATGGCCACGTGCGCACAAAGCCGGGCGGCTCCACGTTCCGGAGCAGGGCCGGGAAGCGCCGTCGCGGGGGGCTGAGGGACTGCGAGGGTCCCCTGGGTGCCCTTGAGCTGCGGGTCCCCTCTTGCCACCAGCGCCCTGTGCTGAGGGGGCAGCCCCAGGGCTGCTCCTCACCCCCAGCCCCGCGGTGTCCCCCAGGGCTCCGCACCACGTCCAAGCCCCCGGCCCTGCTCCGGGCTCCCCCACCCCACCTCAGCACCCGCTTCCCCAGGGTAAAGGCCGGCGGAGGAGGCCGAGCGCCCCGCACGACGTGCCCCGCTCTGTCCCCTCCGCCCAAACCCCTGTCGGGGACCGCGCCGCCCGCGGTGCCCTCTCGCCCAGGCCATGACGGCGGTRTCCCCGGAGGAGAGCCACCCGCGGGCCCAGCGCCACTGGCGCTTCTGGCGGACGCACTGGAAGCTCCTGGGCGTCTTCGAGATCAACCCCGAGCACGAGTTCTACCCGCTGACGTGCCGGCTGCGCGCGGGGCTCCGCGCCGCCACCCAGGCGGCCATCGACCTCCCGCCGCCGGTGAGTCCCCCAGGCGCCGCGGGGACACCGAGGCCCTGCGGCCGGGCGCTCACCGCGCCGTGTCCCGGCAGGACGTCCCCACTGACCGCGACTGCGCCCAGGTGCTCAAGCAGCCCCACGAGGTAGGAGCCGCCGGCGGGGCGGGTGCCCCCGGAGGGCGCCGTGGGTCGCGGCTCACGGCGCTGCCCGGCGCAGGACTTCGAGCTGCGCACGTACGCGGCGCCCACCTTCGCCCGCCTGCGCCGCTCGCTGGGCCTCTCTGAGGAGGACTACCAGGCGTCGCTGTCCTCCCGCGGGCCCTACCTCCAGTTCATCAGCAACTCCAAGAGCTCGGCTGACTTCTTCCTCACGTGAGTGTCCGCCGGGACCACCCCGCRGCCCCCGCGTCGCTCCCCGCTGCAGCACGGGATGGGGCGCCCGGCTCCTGGAAGGACTTGGGACCCGCTGGGAGCCCACAGGGCTCTTGGCCACCCTGAGGGCTCAAACCAGCAGCAGTGGGTGAGAGCTGGACAGACCGGGCYCGGGCAGCCCGTGGGATGCAGTGTGGGCCCTTATCAGGATACAGCACCCATAGGTGCCCGTGCTGGGCTGTGTGCCCCAGCACCCAGCAAGCAGCAGGCGCCAGGGCTGCTGTGCACGAGGGCTTGGGATCCTCCACCCCCTGAGAGCCCATGGCCTCCTCGTCCCCCAGACACGACAAGCGCTTCTTCCTGAAGACGCAGAGCAAGCGGGAGATCCGGTTCCTCCTCTCCAACCTGCCCCGGTACCTGCGGCACCTCGAGAGATACCCCCACTCGCTCCTGGTCCGCTTCCTGGGTGAGGGCAGCGGGACGCGGCGGGCGGCGCGGGGGTCCTGCTGCAGAGCCAGAGCCCCAGGATGGGGGCTCAGCTCCAGAGGTGCTGGGTGCCTGCCCGGCCCCTCACCACAGGTCACCTCCCTGCCAGGGGTTCACAGCATCATCCTGCCCCGACAGAGGAAGGTAGGTGCCCGTGGCCAGTGCCGCATGGCCCTGGCGCTGCCGGCGCCTGCCTCATGCCCACCTCTCTCTGCCAGAAATACTTCATCATCATGCAGAGCGTCTTCTACCCTGACGAGAGGATCCGGGAACGGTGAGGGCAGTCCAGGGGTCCAGGTGCCCATGCATCCTGCCTGCTGGTGCCTGGCAGCCATGCACCCCCCAAAGGCGCCCTGTCTGTCTGCTCTCAGGGGGCCTTGTCCWCCTCTCCTGTTCCCAGTGCCCCTCTGCCCTGATGCACCATGTCCATATGTCCCAGTGTGCCTAGTGCCCATCCATCCCAGGACACCCAGTGTCCATCTGTCCTTGGTACCCAGTGCCCATGTTTTCCATGGTAGCTCCACTTCTTCCATGGTAGCTCATGTCCCTCTGTCCTTGATCCCCAGTGTCCCTCTATCCTTGGTGCCCACATGTCCCAGCAGAGCCCATCCCCGCTCCACGGGGCACCCCGCTCCATGGGGCACAGAGGCAGCCCAGGGGCCCGGCGGGTCCGAGCCGCCTGCCTGCCACGCAGGTACGACATCAAGGGCTGCCACGTGAACCGCTGGGCCGAGCCGGCCCCCGAGGGCAGCCCGGCCTTCTTGGTGCTCAAGGACTGCAACTTCGAGGGCAAAACCATCTCGCTGGGTGAGGCGGGCGGGCAGGCGGGCGGGAGCCCACRGGGGCAGCGCTGAGCGTGCCCCCCGTGTGCCCACAGGCTCCCAGCGGTCCTGGCTGCTGCAGCAGCTGGAGCTGGACAGCCGCTTCCTGGAGGAGCTGCGGGTGCTGGACTACAGCCTGCTGCTGGCCCTGCAGCCGCTGCACGCCGACGAGAGGCTCCCGAGCAGCCTCTCCCTGGCCAGCGTCGTGGCGCGCGCCGCCCAGTAGGTACYGGGCCACGGGGACATCCCTGAGCCGGCCCGGTGCGGGCACGTGGAGCTGCAGCGGATGCTCCCCGCGTCCCGCGCAGGTCCATGGAGCAGATCCCCAGCCTGCACAGCCTGGCGGGGCCCGCGGAGCTGCACAGCCCGGAGGACGCGGACGCTGCGCCGGAGCCGGGCGCCCACGCGCTGGCCCAGCACCGGCGCCTGCTGCCGGCCAGCAGGAACCCGCTGCACGTGCTGGACGGGCCGCAGCTGCGCTACTTCGTGGGCATCATCGACCTCTTCACCGTCTACAACTGCCGCAAGCGGCTCGAGCACCTCTGGAAGAGCATCCGCTACCCGGGCCAGGCCTTCTCCACCGTGTGCCCCACCGAGTACGCYCGCCGGCTCTGCCGCTGGGTGGAAACGCACACGCTGTGACCCCTGTGCGGCGGCAGCAGCACCGGCCGCCCCGCGCTGCCGTCCCCACCGCCCYGGCGCCCCGGCCCCATGCCCTCCAGCTCCCGCAGCACCAACTCCAAGGGCCTCCTCCTGAGAGCCTCGCGGCACCAGGACCACAGGCGCCCACCCGCCCAGTGYGCTCCGCTCTGGCATGCGGCGAGCGGGCCGGGTCTCAGCACAGCAGAACTGCTCCTTGGGCGCCACTGGAGACTCTGCAGAGCCCCGCGCTGCAGTGGTCGCCCAYAAGGGTGTCCCCATCCTGAGCCCCCGTGTCCTGGCCTGGTGGGCATCAGGAAGGCCCGGCTGGGCCGGGATAAGGCACGGGCACCTGGACCTGCACAGAAACGTCACCTTTAAGACAGTAGCTTCCAGCAGGCCTAAAAATAGCGCACGGCTGCAGCCAAAGGTCAGGACTCCAGGGCCCTTCCTCCTCACGGGCCTGCGGAAAGGCCTGTCCCAGAGCCCAAGGGAGAGCCCAACTCCTTCCCTGCTCTGGCTTTAAGTGACCTTATGGATTAAAAAAGTGCCGCTCGGAGGGCTCGCCAGCTGCCTGCGCGCATCTCTCTTGGGGACATGATGGGTGCAGAGGCTCAGAGCCCGCGCCCAGCGGGCACAGCCCCACAGGCAGCTCCCACGCGCTGCTTAGCTCACCGCAGCAGCGGGGCAGGTCCCTGTCCCTGCGCAGGAGGAGCTTGGCAGCTCGGCTGGCGCCTCCTCTGCCCGGTCCCTGGACAGCTGCTGGGTGCCGGGTGGGGACCTGATCCTAATATTATTTTAACAACAGGAAGAACACTGAACGCGGTGCTGGGCACGGGCGTGTGGGGAGGCGGGTGGTGGGGAGCGTGGACGTCACCCGCAGCTCCTCTGCGCCTTGCCCCACTGCCCAGGTGAGCTGCGTGCGTGCYAGCGAGGCCGTGGGGAGCAGCCAGCGAGGCCGTGGGGAGCAGCGTGCCCCAAACCGCGCGGCCCCGGCCCGCTCCGCGGCCGAGGGAGCCCCGGCCGTTGCTGCTGCGCCCTGTCCTGCCTCCGGCTGGCTGGGGTGCAGTGATGCCCGAGGTGAGGACGGGGACAGGGGCAGCGCTGGCGCCGGGGAGCCCGGGGATGAGGAAGGCGGGTGCGCAGAGGAGAAATGGGGCCTGGAGGGGCATGGGGGGTGGGTGCAGGGTCGCAGAGTGCCAGTACCGGGGGCACACGGGGTGGGCGCAGGGTCGGTGTCAGTACCGGGGGCACAGGGGAGGGGTGCAGGGTTGGTCCCTAGGTGCTGGTACTGGGGGCACAGGGGATGAGTGCAGGGTCGGTACCAGGGTGGTGGTATCAGGGTGCTGGTACTGGGGGCACAGGGTCAGTGCCGGTACCGGGGGCAGAGGGGACAGGCGCACGGTCGGTACCAGGTGCTGGTACTGGGGGCACAGGGTCAGTGCCGGTACCGGGGGCAGAGGGGACGGGTGCACGGTCGGTACCAGGGTGCTGGTACTGGGGGCACAGGGTCAGTGCCGGTACCGGGCACAGAGGGGACGGGCGCACGGTCGGTACCAGGGTGCTGGCACACGGGCCGGGTGCGGGTCGTGCCCCGCGGCTCCTGGGCCGGGCGGGGGCGCTGCTCCCGCGGCAGGGGCGGGCCCGGTTCCGCCCCGCCCCAGC